TTGATTTGCTCCACTCCTTCCACACTTCCGTTCTCCCATTCCAAAAAAGTAATGGCGTTCCTTCTATACCTCTCCTTTAGGGAATTATAAATAAAGCGGGTGTTTTTGTCTCCATCCTTCAACCTAAGTTATCTAGATTTCAACCTGAGCATACTTTCTTTCAAATTTAAAAGATTACAAACCTCACTTGTGGCTTTACTCCTATCTTTAACTATCTCCTCTATTGCACCACCATGGTTATCTACCAAAGAGTTGTCTAAACCATTAAGATTATCCACCTCCTCGCTAACCTTCAAATCAACCCACCCGAAAACATCATGGTTCCAATCCCCAACCTGGAGCTCTAAAGTTCTAAGCTTCTCGTACAAAATGTAATCTCCTCTTCCCTCCACCTTTAACTTATCCCACTAAACTTTAATAAACGGTTTAAAACCTTCATTATTGTACCAAACATGTTAAATCTAAAGGGCTTTGGACCCTAATTAATATTTCTAGAGTTAAGACATATAGGATTATGGTCTGAAATATCTCTATTTCCCACACTTTTATCTACCACTTCCCAATCTTCAATTAAATTTCTTGATAGCAAGAATCTATCAAGTCTACCCACCGCCTTCTCATTGCCTTTAAACCAAGTGAATCTTCCTCCAACACACAGAATGTCAACTAAGTCCATATCCTCTATAAGATCTCTAAACTCCTTCATATCTCTTATACTATAATGGACCCCTTATCCTAATCGTTCATCTCTACAACTCGCTTCATTAAAATCACCTGCTAGACACCATTCTTCATTCATTATTTTTTTCTTCCACCTCAACCAATTTTCTCCACACTACTCTCCTTGACACCACATTACAAGGGGCATAAATATTCACAAAATTGTACACGATAACTTTCAACAAGACATTTATACCAACAAATTCTGGTCCTCTAAAACTGTAATTTAAAGATAAAGAGCCTTTTCCCCATAAGATGATCATCCCACCGAAGCTCCATATGAATCGCAAGTTGTCCATTCCACCTCCTTACAACCCCAAAAGGACCGAGCTAAAGAATATTAGAATCTAGATAATTGGGTTTCTTGAATAAAGAAAATGTCTACCTTACTTGACTTAATAAAAAAATTGACCCTCTTCCTTTTGGAAGGTATCCCACCACCTCTGATGTTATAGGATAAAATATTCATGGCGCTAATGTCTTTACTTCCTTCTTGCCTCATATCCCCTCTTTATCTCTAAGATCCATGGTCCCTACTAACTTCACACTTATACTAGTATCAATGCATGCCACCACCCCCAATTTTGTGATAGAATTCCAAACTTTCATCCCCACCTCAAAATTAGTGTTCTTTAGCAATCAACTATTATAATGAAAAACTTCAGAATCAGTTAAAGAGTTGCAAGTAGAAAACACATCTTTCAAAATGGAATATCCATCATTATTGCGAGCTACAGATGAACCCGAAGCTTTTATAGAATAACTTCCCTTTCTCGGTCCAATACTAACGTAATACGATGGCAAAACTTCCACTTTCTCACCTAATTCCAACACAGGTTTTAGTTTTTTCTTCTTGAGTTTTTTTTGTGTTAATTTACATGCAGGCCTTGTCAAAAGACATTGGTCATATTGAACTACTACCAATGTCTTTAGGCCCAAAATTATCCTTCTACTTTTATAAATGAACCTGGTCCCACTTCCACTCAAACCCTGCTCCTCAATAAAACCTCTCTCTTTTGAATCTCCAAAGCAACACCTCTCGATGCTCCCTCCTACATCATTCATCGCATTTAATGTATGAGGATTTGAAGACAAGATATTGGCATTATTCCCAATACCAGAAGATACATGAGTAGCCTTTTTGCTAGGTGGCTCCTCAGTAACCTTAAAGAGTGAATCACTCTAGGTATAAGCTCCTGAACACTCTACACCCTTACCCTGCTTCATACCGCCATATTGACTTGTCCCATTCACCTTTCTGCTAGCCTCAGTAACTGACACCTCCTCTTCCTCGAAACCTCCCCACCCTTCACTTGAATTCTCTTCATCGGATGTGGCTCCACTGAAGATTCAAAGAAGTCCGACGAACCTTCCTCAAAATGATTTTTCCCTACTGACACTTCCACCAATGGAGACATGTCTTCCATCAATGTAATGTTTAACGTGACACCGTCAATGGAAAAAAGGAACAAATCATTAATGAAATCCACACATTTGGTCCGAATGCAGATTTTGGCAATGTCCACTCTAAGTTTATACCATGTAGGTTCATCACATTTGATGAACTTGCCTCTAGTTTCATATATCAACTTGAAAAACGACGAACCCCATGCGTGATAAGGGATACCCGTGACTCTAATCCACGCCATTCTCTCTGGGTCAACATCACTGACTTCCCATGGTTTAAGCTCGCTAAACCATTACCTCACCACATCTTGTGATCCTTGATAAAGCTCTCTACTTATCCCTTAACCAAGTCTTCAAGGATGCACAAGTTTGCTTCCAAATGAGTGATTTTGATAGTGAAGATTCCCTCATCATGGAAAAGTTATTTCAGTTTGAAAACTGATTCGGGATCCTTGACCACCCCAGTGATAACTTTCTCATATCTTCTAACGTCTTCTTCTTCTAGAATGAATGGGATTTTTTCGACCTCTTTACTAGCTTCCGCTAAACTAGGGTTCAAGTTATTGATGACCCCCGCATACGATATGTTATCCGCCTTCGAGAATGTCATTCGACCTTTGAAAATAACCCTCTTCCCCCCATTCAAACCATTCGCACGTTCAAACCTTCTATCAAGCTTAACAGTGTCCTTGAAATTCCTTTGAAACCTAGGTAAATTATCAAAAAGCTTCCTCCCATAAAGAATGACACTGTCAAATTTAGTTGCCAACAACTTCGCTTTAATGACATTAACAAAATGAGAAAATTCGTATCTTCTTCCTCTCTTATCTCTTTTAGGAGGAATAACCACTTCTTCAATCTCTCCCAACTTTTTAAACTCAAAGAACAAGTCTTTTGCTTCTCATTTGTCATCAAACTCTGTAAAAAAAAAAGATGTATACCCACCAAAATTCCTTTAACCTCCATTCACCCCTACATCCCACCTATCGAACTTATGGAAGCTTCCATTTTTCTTACCAACTCTCCTTCATCCTTCAATCTCTTCACGGGGGTTCATGTTTTAAAACTGGTGGCAGAAAGTTCAAATTTTACAAACGATAGTTTGGTAGACATATGATATCGCACGAATTTTTTACTAGTTTTTTATTGAAAGGTTTTCCTTTTAAAAAATTTGTAATTTTTTTAAATCATAAAAAAAAAGCTGAATAGGCCTTTAATCCCATAAACTAGTAAAGGATTCGTGCGTTCGCACAGGTCGCGTAAAGTCGATATAAATATTAAATAAAAATTGTATAGTTATGGTTAAGAATTGTATATAAATATATATATACGAATTAAGAGAAAAAAACTTTAAATGATGATTATCACATAAATTTTAATTTAATTTATTAAGTTGTAGTAGTTGTCAAGATATACATAAAAATTATGTTGAAAATATGAGTATATGGTCTAGTACACTTCACGGACATATATAAAATTGATTGTCTATCTGTGTGTTTGCATGGTTGTGCAATATCGTTATAAATAACAAATAAATATAATATAATGATAATTAAGAAATGTATATAAAAGATATACAAATTAAATAGTGCTGACCCGTCAGAAATGTATATTTTAGTAATTTAAGATGTTTAAGATATTTTCTAATAGAATAATAATCAAATAAAAAACAGAAAAAATAAAATTTAAATAAAAACAAAAAATGGGTATAAGGATGTTGTAAGGCCCATCAGAAACCCTAATTATTAAACAAGGAAAAGGGTAAAGAGAAAAAACATTAAATCAATTATTAAAAACAAGATATGTAAAATAAAGCATACGATACCTCTCTCTACGTGCCACACTTCCATTTTTTTCATCTCTCTGTTCAGTGTCGATTCCTTCTCTTTTCATCTTTCTCTCCTTGTTTTCAAACCCGCTCTCTCACTCACTGTTCTTTTCAAATCTCATGAAAACAAACAACAACAATCCTGCTTTCATTCTCAATGTTCCTTATCATGTTTTCACAATTCCAATTTCATTTACATAACCTCAAAACTTAAATCCAAACTCTTTATCTCTCGTTAGTCGCTTATTACGGTTATATTTCAACACAACCACACCTGAATTCGTAGCTTGAACAAGACAAAGTCTAGAAAATAAATTGAAAATTCTTCGTAGGTAAATTCTTCTCGTCAGGAATTAAAAGTGTTCATAAAAGTTCTCTAATAGCACGAATCAATTTATTTAATGTTTTGTTTTTAATTTTCTACAATCTATAATATAAGAAACATATATGTGATAGAAAAAATATTTATGTTCATCACTATCAGTATGTCACGTGTCAAATTAAATTACTATTAATCATTATTATTATTATTTTTTATAAATGATTATTACGTTTACAAATTATTTATATTATTTTTAAAATTAAAATTTTTATTAAGTTTTTCAAAGAATATCAAATAATTTTAATAGTATATTACTTTATTATATTAAAAAAAAAAAGGAAAGAAAAGGGTCCTTATCCTTTTAAAATCTAGAGCATTTGTGTGTTAACGGTATCTTAGCCATGGCTCCACTGCCCTTGCCGGAGCCAAACAGACAGGAAGTTAAAATTGATATTACTAAAAAGTATTAAAATACCATTTATATCCTTCGCTATTCATTCTTCAATCCTCGCTTCTTTCATGCTTGCAGTTTCTCTCTCAAAACTCTCGCTCCCCTCTCTATTCTGTAAGTTCCTCTCCCTTCTCTATCTAGGGTTTTCATTTTAGTCTTGAAATTCTGCATTTTCTGTTCTTAATGTTTAAATTAATGCATCTCTTGCTGATTGCTTGCTTATGCCTTAATCGCGTTTCATATTACTTTAGAGTTTTTCAGGTCCTCACAGGATGCTTTGCGCCCTGGCTAATCTTCCACTATTTATTGGAAATACGTTTCCAGAAACTAAAATACCAACAACTACACGAACCACTGTGGTAAGATCCTAAGGGCGAGGCGATTGTTATAAATATGCAAAAATAAGAGTGTGATGACTATGTCTAACTTTGTTTATATCAGGTATGTGCAGCAAAAGGTCCAAGACCAAGATATCCTCGAGTTTGGAAGACCGATAAAAAAATCGGAACCATTTCCAAGGCTGCTAAGCTTGTCCACTCTGTAACTTATATTCTTTTCTATCATTCAGCCTGATTTTTCCTTGGTTGATTTGCATATCTTGAAAAATTGTGTTTATATTGTTTTATACAGATTAAGGAACTTTCAAATGTCAAAGAGGAAGTTTATGGAGCTCTTGATACATATGTCGCTTGGGAACTAGAATTTCCTTTAATTACAGTGAAAAAGGCTGTCAAGACTCTAGAGTACGAGAAAGAATGGAAGCGGATAATACAGGTAACGAAATGGATGCTAAGCAAGGGTCAAGGAAAGACAATGGGAAGCTATTTCACATTAATTAATGCTTTAGCAGAGGATGACCGGCTTGATGAAGTGGAAGAGCTTTGGACAAAGCTATTAATGCAGTACACGGGAAGCTTACCTCGTAGATTTTTTGATAAAATGATATCTATCTACTCTAAAAGGGGCTTGCATGACCAGATGTTTGAGGTATTTATTATGTAGTAGATGATGCAGTGCTCTAACATTGTGTAATAGTTATCAACTTAAGATGTGAATGGAATTCAGGCTCAACATTTACTTGATTTCTGCTGTAGGTATTTGCAGACATGGAGGAGCTTAGTGTTCGACCTAGTAGTTCTGTTGTTTCAATAGTTGGAGATGTCTTCAAGGAGCTCGGTATGATGGAGAAATACGACAAGTTACATAAAAAATATCCACCACCCCTATGGGAATATAGATACATCAAAGGAAAGCGCGTAAGAATTAGAATGCAAGGTCAATCTAATCACGTTGGCAAATACATAAGAAAACACGACAGTGTTCAACCAAATTCAGGCTTAAGACAGGATGATAGTTCAGAAGAGACTTCAGAGTTAATAGATGATGAACAATTCGAACAGGACACTGAGGTATTATTCATGGAAACCAAACAAATTTCAGGTGAGTCGAATCAGAGTATGGAACCAAGTCTAGATGATATATCATGATTAGCAGGTAAGTTTCTGTTGGCCATTATTATTAATCACAAACAGAATCTCGGTGTCCGGTTCCTGTTAGAAGATATAAGGTGGAGACACTCTAGGAGAACATGCTTTTAAAATTTCAAAAAATGTAACCCTGAGAATCTGGTGGTGGCCATTTCATTTATGAGGGTATCCGATCATTTACCGAGCAAGTAACGTAACTAGTCAGATTCCTCCAACGGCGAATTGTTGAATTAAAAGGGTGGTTGCTTGCTTTAGCTTGAAAGTTTGCTCAATGCATAATATACTGGAGATTGAGGGCTCTGATTAGCAGATAGTTGTGCAGGTTTGTGTTATATTGTTGGTCATATATCTGCATTGTATTCAAATGCTTAAACCGTGGTAGTTAATTACTCCTAGATACAACAAGCAATTCTCCTTTTTGTAATTTATGAATCTAGACTTGTGCACCATTATAAGAAGTAGCATGACTCTATCTACTATGTTTCAATTTAACATGTTTATAATGCCTTTAATTTTTGTCTACTTAGTTTGGCTGAGGATTTATGAAATCTGATTTTTAATTCTCTCTTTCATTTTATTGTTATTGAAAATTTTCATTTTATTTTGTTATTTGTTATTGATTAACACATTCCAATATATTTAAATAAACGCATATTCAAATAGACAAGAATGGTTTTAAATTAACTTAACTTGTAGTTGCCTCAAATTATATAGTTTAGTGAAGTGATATTCATTTGTAATATTTAGTCTTTTCAAACTTTGAGCACACATAATATGAAATAATAAAGTTAAATAAGTTTCAATTCTTTTATCTTTAATTTAATTAATAAATCAACAATGCATTTGATGCATATTTTTCATTTTAACAAAGATAGAAAATAATTAATATAGTTAAATAAGTTTCAATTCTTTTATCTTTAATTTAATTAATAAAACTACAATATATTTTATACCTATTTATCGTATCGCTTGGAAAAGCGTTCTTTGGGTTCCGATTTGATAAGCGAAAGGTTTGGTCTACAGCTTCTCAAAATTAGTTTTGAATGCATTTTATAAACTATTACTACTATTTTATTTTATTGCTACCATTGCTTTGAAAATACAGTATATATGAGTATTATTATTAATTAATCTAGCAATAGTTTTAGTCCTAGACCATCAATAAAATAAATAGATTGAAAATTAAATAAAGGCAAAGTCTTATTATTTCAGTAAAACAGTATCATTATTGATGCAAGTGGTATACTAACGTTCTCAAATAATTCAATTAGAAAATATCAGCATGATTTATATTTAAATAACATTATGATATTTCATGGTGTAATTGTTGCTAAGATACGGGTTGGGTACCGCTGGGTCCAAAAGTTGGACCTGCACCCGCTTGCTTAAACCTATCTAAAATCCGTTTTGTTGATCCGATCACCCGCATAATTGATAAATGTTAAAATATCATTATTTTGTGTATATAATTTGTAATATTTATCGGTTCTTTTGTTAATATTCTTTGAATAATTTTCTGATTTGTGTGTAAATATGTATACTTTGCGTATTATTATGTTTTTGATTCATTTATGTACCGTTTGATAGATTTAATGTATTTCGTAGGTATTATTGCGTATTTGGAACATCAAGGAATAAGGTGTCGAAGGCACGGTTCTGAATAGGCATTTTTTTGTTAAACTCAAGAAATAAAATTGCTTTAGGTCGCGCTTAGCGCACTCCCATCGCGGATTCTAGAGCAGAGGCAGTGAGTTTGGGGCTAAGCGCGAAATTGGGGGGTTGGCGTGCTTTGGGGCAAAACCCGATTTTTTAGGCTTAGCGCGCTCTGCGTTTTTCAGCTTTGTATAAATAGCTTAAAACATATTTTTTAGGGATTTTATCATCTCTTTCTCTCTTATAGGAGCTCTGATTCAATTCTTTGTAGTTTAGAGGTTTAGGCAACATCATTAGGTGGTGCATCTTGTCGATTGGTTATGGATTGTCTCGGATCATGTTGACACCGCAAGAAGTTTCCTATTCATCTCCTTTTTTCCTATGTATCATTTCAATGGTGGGTTTTGTATGTATATCTTTACTCTTTATGTATTTACATTTGTCGATCATGGGATTGTATGAAATCTTCTTTGCAAATTAATACCAGTGTTTGTTCTTGATTTTTGCTTTATTGCGAAGTTTTGGTTTGTCATACACATATGCTTTTCGAATCTCTTTCTTGAATGAATATATATTAGGTCCTAGATTCTAGACATAGATTTGGGCTTAATATTTATGTGGGTATCGGTTATGAAATGCATCCGGGTTGTTTGAGTTGCGCGCGAAATCGCCTCCGAGAGCAATACGGGTGATGTCTCACTTTGTGTTAGAGATACCCTTAGTATGAGCGATACGTGATGGTATTGACGAGTGATTTATGTCGCGTGCAATTGATCAGCAAGTTTAAGTATTTGACGGGTAGAATGAAATGTAATTCCAGAATGAATTCTCTTAGGTTGCGGATGATTATTTATCGCTTTCTTTATTGCTTTATTTATTTTTCCCGCATTTTTCCTGCAAACCCAATCTAAACTTAGAAGGATTGAAATTGTTGAACGGTAGTTTTTCCCTCTCACTAATCCATGTGGAGACGATGCGATATAACCTATATCACTCTTACAAAATATGTACTTTTGTTTGCCGCTTTACCGCTTCAGCAATAACCCATTTGACCCGCTTGTTTGATCAAAAATTGGTTTGGTTTCATCGGATTAATACGGTTTACGGGTTTTTGTCTACTCCTAGTTTTAATAATATTAGTAGATTTCTTAATCCGTTTCATGTTTCTCTAGCACATCGCGCAAAAATACATTTGTGCCTCCAAATTTCGGAGATGCATATCTGGACGCATCAAAATTCAGAGATACATCTTTGAAATCTCACGTAAACGCATCTTCGGGCGCACCCAACTTTAGTACATTTCTTGCCCATGACCAAAGTTCACACATAATCTACGTAGATGCATCATCGAAAAGTCTACGTATATGCATCTCTAGACGTTATTCGTTTAAATACGAGTCAAAGCCCCTTCCTTTTTCTCACTCATGCAAAATCATTTCAAAACCCATTTCTAAGAACACCCATCCACCCCATTTTCTCAAACTCACTCATAAAACACCCAAGCAAAAGCAAAGAGCATCAATCTTCATCAAACAACTGACTTCAAACATCATTGAGCAACAACAATCAACTTGAAGACACATATTGCCATTTTTTTGAAGTTTATTGAGTTTATGTAAAACTGTGTAGAAGTTGAGCTTTAGGTTATAAAATCGAAATATTTTTAGTATTTGATAGCTTAAAACTAATGAGGAACGATTTAGTTAGGTAGTTTTTACGATCAATGGATTATTTTTTATGTTTAATGGGTATGTATTCCGCCATTGATGGTGCTTGGGTTGTAGAAGTTTCTAGAGATACATATCTGAAATGGTTCAACGTTTACCCAGAATTAGATATGCATCTTTGAAAGCTGTTTGTGGAATGTTTTTGCCTTTTATTTGTAATGAACTTATTGCATAACATATATCTTGTCTATTTATAGGAATTATGACTGAAATACTATCCCGATTGAGACACGGCAGACTTACACAACATGCATCCATTCGGAGGGGAAAAAGTCAGCAATCGCAGGCTCTTTCTACCTCTAGACAAGTTGATATGGAGGCGTCAGGTTCCAGGGCTCATGTATCTCCTCCTTCTTCTTTGTTATCCCGTAGCAGGCGAGAGTCCCTTGCTCATGCCTCCCTGCCTTCATCTTCATGTAGACGCATGAGTTCACCTATTCAGGCATGTGAGGAAGGAGAGACATTACAGGTCTAGGAAACATCGGAGGCACTTGAGGCATCCCAGGCCTAGGAGACTGAGGCGACACTTGAAGCATCCCGATCCTAGGCAGTACCGAAGGCATCCCAGTCCCAGGCGTCACCCGACACATCCCATGTGAGTGCACTTTCCTATTAGATGTTTTGGACGATGTCAAAACTAGGATAACTTTAGCATTTCTGTATATTGAACGATATATATGAGCATTTGTGTGCACCTTTTCATTAGGGATCATAGAATGCATTTAGAACATATTTGGAAAGAGTATCATGCATTAAAAATGAGTTTTTACATGAAAAACAGGTCTAGGTGTCAACCCATACGATGTATGAGTCGACACATGTGGATAAATAATAAATCATGTAGCCTCTGTAACTATGTGTCGACACATACAACCCTTCAGATCGACACTTGCTGAAAATTTTCATCTATGTGTCAACACATACGTGTTTCAAGTCGACACATGTACTTCATTTTGAAGCTTGAAAGTCTTTTTTTCTTTGTGTCGACACATGACCATGAACAGGTCGACGCATATCATTACATGTGTCGACACATGACTTATATGTATCGACACATACTGTAGTTTTTATGAAAAATTGTATTTCTTTTCAATTTCCAAGTCTCACTTTTTGCCTCCAACTTGCACACATATAAATACTTCATACGTGCTTTATTTCCAACTTGATGAAGTTATACATAATCATTCTTTGTTTGGGTGTCATCTAGACTTGTGTTGATAACATTAAATTTAGGTTGGTGTAACCTAAGATTGGGTTGAGAATTTTTGGGGGTTTCATCCAGAAAAACATTAGGGTTTATCATCCAAGATCATAGTGTTGATTTGGGGGTTTTAACAAGGTTTCACAATTTGGATTTGATCGAGTGAAAGCTTTAAAGAACGGGTGGTTCTTTCAAAGGAGTAGCGTGAGACGTTGAATCGATTTGAAATCTTGGGTGACAACCATTCATAATTTGGATTCGGCCGAGTGAAAGCTTTAAAGAATAGTGGTTTCTTGCAAAGGAGTAGCGTGAGACAATGGATCAAATCGGTATTATTGGGTGACTTGATCAAGCTCAGATCGAGGAAATAGAAAGGGTTAGAATCAACATCAAACATAGGGTTTGTAAGGTTGGATTAC